TAAAATGAACTGATTTCAATACATTAAGTATAATTCATATTTAAGTAAACCACTGCTCAGTGTGATAGTTAGAGTGTATTTCAACCAAATACTGTGTGATCTATCATATACCTCAACCAATTTCCCAACGTAGTTCGAGCCTGTCTTCTACATAGGATAGGAACCGCAGGAATCCAAACATTCGACCCAATTTATATGTTCAAAAGAAATTTGTGACACTTCTGCTCCTTTCTTGGTCGGATATAACTTAACAAACAATTTCGTTTATTATTATTATTATTATTATGCTTATTATTACTGTTATTAGTATTTTCACATTCCGTATTTGTTTGTGAATTTTTTTCACCTCTTTCCGTTTATATTATTCACCACTGAATTATTTTACAATCTTATTGTTACTTAATTCTAATAGTGTTAAGTGGTAATTATTTGAAGTCTGTCTATTCAAGTTTGATCTCCTTCTTCCATGGGTTGAACTATTGATAAAAACTTTTATCACTGTTTCATCGAAATGCTGAATCAGTCATTGTAATTGTTTTTTATTTATTATTCTTACCACTAACAGTACACTTGTCTTCCTACTATGAACTTATTTTTAGGCAGAGTTTTGGAGGTTTGTGTTTTTACATATATGAAATCATCAATCAATCATTGTTAGACCACCATTAGTAACCTGGAAGCACTGGACGGCCGTTTCGTCCTAGTATGGGACTCATCAGCAGTGCGCATCAACTTATACTTTTACCTATTATGTATAGTTACCTAATCTTTCTCATTGTGATTATTGACTCATAGATTGACTTGATTGGTTTAGCATATCTAGATAAATATTTCAGTTTATTATATTAAAGCCTAATGACAGCCTAATTGAAAACAATATTGTTCGCTCATGTGTGTCTGAATTGTGTTCACTACATGTTGATGTGCGACAGTGAAAGTTCAATGGATGACATGATTCACTAAATTCACATAGCATCATATACTATTAAGACCTGTCTAATAAATTTAATTCGAGATATTGATTAAATATTTTGACTTTTCCACCAAATAAATGTGATTTTTTTTTGTATAGAACCACTTCAATAATAACAGTCATAATAATAACTGAAGTACATGCCATTAGCGTGCAGAACTTACTCTTATTTACAAGATCTGTTTCATCCATAGCATAAAATGAATCTGTTTAATAATTTATATCAAGTTTGTCATTGTCAGTGCAATATATCATGATCAGTAATAATACTCGTAAACACGTTGACCTACTTAAGATTTATGTTGAGAAAATTATTAGCATCAGTTCGTTTTTAATTCTAGATTCAGTTAAATACACACAGTTTATATCAGTATTTTCTGCGTTTTAACTTTAGACATTATCAAATTTTCAAATTTAAACAATGAGGACAATCAACTCATCTTTTTGTATTATAAACAAATTAAGTGGAATTCATAGCAATTACAAGTGAACATGACAAGAAAGAGAGAAGTCAATAATTAAACTAGAAATATATCTATCACTGGATTCAGTAATTTACAGATTATACTCTAGTCATTAGACCATGAAGTAAACTAATTGATATGGCTAGCAAATGTCCATAAATTCAATAACTAGACTCCAAGCTCTAATTGTTAGTTAGCACTAAAATATGGTCTTTAAACTTACGTAGGATTGATTTACATGGAAATCTTTGAAAATAAAAATGTTAGAATTTAAAATTACAATTAATTGTTTAACATTTCTGAAAGACTAAGATTGAAAATGCATTAAAATGGATTTCGAGAAGAAAACAAATTAGCCTTTATTATTGAGCAGCTTTTCAAATGAGATAGATTCTTAACTTTTAGTCCTTAATCCTATAATATACAATAAACAGTGTATAAAAGTAATGATTCACTTTGGTTATATTGTTCTAGAGTTTGTTGGGTGTTTAATACGTAGAGCGGCAAGATTACACAGTTATAACGAAGAATGTTCACATCATCTTGGTAGCAATCTTAAACAGTCAAACTAACATCACGACAATTCAAAATACCTCTAGAATATCTCTCTGCTTGAACTGAAACAATAAAGAAAAGGCAAAAACTACGAGCTAAAGTCTGCTTCATAGTTAATCTATACACCGGAAATGACCGTATTTATAGGGTCGTAGACTATCTTAAACTTCTGGAAGCAATAAACACATAACACACAGTACTTCAGGTTTTTTGAATGCTTCCGAGAAGCTCCTACTGAATGCTGATTTAATATAACGTTCTCAGCCTATTTCTAGGCTTCTAGAGACTTCATTGGAGGACATTAGCGAATTCCTAACAGAAATGGATCAAAAACCAGCTATCCATCATATTGATGAAACAAATTTGTTTGTAAAGGTCATTTGAAAATGGCAATCCTAATTCTAATATCTGATAGTATTTAGTTATTTGGTGATACCAACCAATCCATCGTACACACACACACACACACAAAACTACTAGAATTGAATGAAAATTTTTATTCACTTAATTTTATTGATAAATAAGGCGAAATGCCAGTTGAAACAGCAGAACTATTTTTCACCGGTAATTTGATTTATCCATCTCTCAGTATGATTTGATGACCTTTACTATATTTAAGGCTATCCATTTTAATTGTTCCACTTAAATTTCATTAAATTTACTTATTGTCTGCGTTCTAACGGTGAATACAGAAAATTTCAGATAACATAAATAGTTGATTATAGTTATGAAATCTAGTGATGAGTATTATAATTTGTTGTCCTATAAAATTATATTTGTGTATGTTTTATTTACGATCAAATCAAATTTTTTTGTGTACATCGCAGCTTGATTACAGCTCATTATTGAACAACACAAATCACAAAGCCACAAGCATTCGAAGCGGCTGCGAACAAAAATACGAGTGTAAATGAATGCAAGTATAATAGGCTTAATAAAAAAAATGAATTTCTGAAGCACATATTGTTTGCAAGGTAATGACTCATCAAGCGATTTAAGCAAATAAGGTTTATGCCAGTGAGAGAAATCAATGTGTAGTCGATAACACGTGATCATAGAAGCATGATAACGCTAATGCAATTGACAAACAAATTGTCAATGATCAGATGACACTTTCTGTTAAATAGGTTAGTTGGAGGGCTTAATGAATTTAACATATACGTACTGAAGTTTAGGTGAGTTGGTGCAAGGGAAATTCGCTTATGTGAATTTCGTAGTTTCGTTTAATAACTACAGGAAGAAAATTTACCAAGCTATTGGACTTTGGAGTCAAGAGATTCTAAGCATTTGATGTGAATGAAACTTATTTGTTAAAAGAAATTATCCATCCCTATTTCTGAGAGTGTGAATTATGGAAAGTATGAATTATTGAAGATTTTTAGTGTTATGTAGATAGCTGATAACAAGACTTCAAATGAGTCAGATTTTCAGGATAAATAACCACAAGAGAGCCAACTGTTTATTGCTTTTCAATTTTTACATCATCAACTTTCTTTGTTTATACAATCACTAAAAATTAGAAAACACGGAACAGATGTTTCTTCCTAGACTGGGACTTTTTAGTAGTACACAACTTGGATCGAACTCAGATCTTTCAGCCTTTGTAGAAAATACTCTAACTATACCTAATCTAGTAATTCCATGTTTTTGACAATGATTTCGTGATGTAAAAATGTGAATTCAGCTATTTTCACAATCGTCGTTTACTGTTATCGCATATAATCTAAATGTTTTTGTTGGGGACGTTAGATCCCCAGATCTTGCTTGATAAATGCCTTATTTCGGATTTCATGTTTGCGAGCATGGGCTGATCAGTTGAACTTGAGGTTTCATTTCGCACCAGGAAATTCCTTGGCTGTGATTGGCTGTTTTGTATTTCAGTGTGCGGTTTTTGTGATTGTCCCAAGGACGTTTCTATGATGTATAAATAAACGAGGGTTTTGTGCTTGATTGCACTGTGCTTACTGGGTGTTTGCAGAATATACTTTCTACGCTATACCAAGACTTCTCTTTAGCCGTTTCGGATCAGAGTAGCCTACCTGGACACTGGTTCATTGTCTAGTTCTAGTTTATCGACTAAAGTGATCCCGTAATAGTTTTCAAGCATACTTAGTGACGAACCTAACAGTTTTACAAATAACTTATTGTATTATTTAAGTTTGCTTCCGCACTTTCTGCCACTATTACTGTTACTTGTTACTATTACTTATCAATTATCGACTGACTTATAGTACAATAAAAATTTTCATACAACTATCCTTTCTATTGTTTGTATGCTTCTGTATGGAGTAAGACCAGTGTCATTATTAATTATCAAAATAAATAAATTAGCATTATAACCTTCGGTTTAGATACTTGTAACTAGACAAATCAAAGTTAATAATGAGTCAAGTATGAGTGAAGTACCACTGTTATTTTGAAGTCGTTAAATTTGTCAATTATTTTAATCTTATTCCTGAAATAAGTAACTCTGTAAAAGTCTATCCTTTATAAATGGTGTAATTTAGCTGCGATACAACCAAAACATGATAATGTATTTTCTTAGATTAAGTTTTCTATTTACATTACTCAGTTATTTTAGTTAGATAACCATCGAGTGCTAGAAAGCACTGAACAGATTTTTCATTGCAGTATGCAACTCTTTAGTAGGACATATCCATGACCTTATCGGGGATCGAACCCAGGAGCTTCACGTCACTTAAGCTTTAGGCCTTTGAACTGGCATTCCAAGTTAACATTTATAGCTCCAATCAACTCAAGATATTGTGCAACCAACTCCAAATGTTACAAGTGGTTAATCGCCTTACACTAAACATGGTTGATTTTTTATGGTCATGGTTTCACATTAGAACTGATAGAATTATGGTTCGAAGTAATTCACCATCGAGCGAATATGGGGGGTTTGAGCAGATTGTTGAAGCTTGTTTTACAAAACTGTTTGAAATTTATTTATAAGTGATTGTCTAATTAATCACACTTCTATTTCTTTTCATTTCTTGCTATTACAGTGTGGAAATTCGTGGGGCTGCAACTATTCTAGATGTGAGTTTCTCAGCAAAATCATTATCTGGTGAAGAAGATACATGGTCACAATGTGTCAATGAGCTATTGGTTGAACTACGTCAATGTCGTCGTCGTGCAGATAATCTAGTCAATCGGATTATTCGTACTGAAAAACAACGTTGCGTTCTCGAAACATTTGCTGATAGTTTGTCACGTCGTGAAGATGAAATACTATTAAGCGGTAATCATCATGGTCTTCTGACAGTGAATAGTTTTCCAAATCATACAGGTGTTGTAGATCAACCAAATAGTATTCCATCACAAGGAGCAACATCATCGGTAGGAATGGCAACAACAACAGCAAATACTCAAATGTCCTCAACGACTGCAGAACACAAAAGTATAACTGATGTAAGTTATTTTTAGTTGTATATTTTTTGACTCAAATTTTCACGATACGATTTGGGTGGAGAAATATTTCTTCTCAATAAGTTCTTCATCATGGTGCCACATTGTTAAAGTGTTTGTTTAAACTACGTAAAAAATATACATGATTTTATGGTTAAGTATAAAATCATTATCAAATAAATAACGATGAATCAATTCAAAAATGCATTTACATGATTTATTTGAAAATATCAATCAGTTAGTTGACCATGAACAGTTCCGAACCTTGCATACATACGCACTGGTTCAAGCTACTATATTGTTTCAGCTCAAAGGGATGAAATTTTCTTGACAAATAACAGATAAGTAGGAGTTGTAACAACAACCATGATGGGAAATACTAGGTACAAGCAGTACGATTCGAGAAGGAAGAACGAAACTGTAGAATAAATAGTATTGGATACTTTTGAAAATGAATATCGATGCGAACATAAAGATTGGATGCATCTGAATTGTTGTGACCTATTCTGAGTGATGTCATCCAACATCGTTAAATGTTGTTCACGATAATGCCGTGAAGCTTGATTTTTCACTGTGGGTTTATGAAGATGGTTTGGTTCAACTGTCAGTGACCTCATGAACTGATGCAATGTCTTAATTTGGTTGCCCCTAGCTTTATTCCAACCGGCTTCTATAATAGCAAACATTATAATTAAGGGTACTTTGTTGTCAAGCTTACGCATTAAGTACCTGACTCAACTCACTCTATGTAGTTTCGTTACCTTCACATCCGAAATACCGTTATAATCGTAATCTGCTCGTTATTGCAACTAGTTATTCAAGGATAACAATGAAAGTTGAGTACATTTAAAATTTGTCAATTAAATGTACGTATTTGATGTTATTTGTGAGAATAATGCATAGGAAATTAGATAAACAGATTAAAACATATTACATATCAATCGGATTAAAAATTAGAGTAGAACAGAGTTGAGAAAATGTCCAAGAATCTTTATCATAATCAAATCGAGAGCCAAGGCAAGCTATAAGACCTAACTAATCTGTTTCTGTACACAGTGATTAAAGTATTATACATATTGCCATGATCTCTGTGGTATGTAGTAGACAAATTCTGTAAGCATAAGACAAGTTCAGTGGAATTATACAAAGACATCTACCTGCTAATATAGTGTCAGTGAGGTGACCAACATCGGCTGAAGTGGTTAAGATAAAGGTTCTTATTGTACACTTCTGTCATTTGATCAACCCAGAGAGACAGTGTTCAGAAATATGACAATATATTTATCTGGTTGTCTCACCAGTATAACTGATCACACAGAAGTAATCGAACTGTTAAATTTATATCAGTCAAAGTTTAATTCTGCGAAAAAGTTTTATTCGTTGTCTGCCACTTAAAGGCACAGAAAATCTCAGTATCAATGTGAGATAATATTTCTTTCAATTATTGATTGCTGAAGAAGTTTATCTTGAAACTCTCATACTTCATGTTTAGTCACGTTGACTAAACAATTGTAATGCTGTTTGTCAGGTTGTTTTATGCTTCTTTAGCTTCAATTCCATCCTGGCCACCACCAAGTGATGACTTGAAGTTGTCAGCTCCTCTTTCCCTTCATATGTTTTCCATGGTCCTTCTGGACTTTTTACTGATGCAAATGTGATTGATTTGGTTTTCCGTAGTATGGTCCGATGATACCAATGCAGCTTTTCGTATGCGTTTGTGTGGTAATATGGTATCCAGTTTGTTGAAGGCACATGGATTTGCGAATCTCTCATCTTTTTCTTTTCTTTCTCTCAGTCCATGTCTTCCCATGATGTCTTCATATCCAGTGTTGTCTGTCAACCTTGGCTCTTAGGTTTCTCATCAGAATGGGCATATCTTGACGATTGACTGCCGCCTCTCATGGAATTGATGCTTATCGTCTTCACTATGATCGTTGGTAGGCGCATGGCACTAAATATCATTAATCATATACCGCTTCTTCTTTGACTTGAAGTATGTTTTGATGAACCTGGGTTCACAGAATACCATCCTATAAGTGATCTTTGGACTTCTGTGGACAGTGTTAGTACAAATCATTGTGTGTGAGGCATTTTCTCCACTCTTGAATCTAATCTTTTTTGTCCAGCCTGTGTCGAATGTGTTCCACGTATCCCAAAGACTACCTGGTTATATCTTTTCATTCCCTCACCAACTTGAATGGTTCTTTCGGTCTCTAACATTGTGTGAACATTGCATGTACCCATATTAATGGTTGCCCTGGTTATGAGAAGAAGCATCGGATTTATAACTGCAGAAAAAACTCGGATTTCAACATGAGGCATGATAACTCTCCTCTAAATGAAGACCTCCCAGCTTCTAGGGCAGAGTCTAATTGGTTTGAATTACTTTTTGTGGTTAGCGTTTTCTCAGAAGGTTAGTGTTCCACTGGACGGGGTTCCTTATACCATGCCCAACTCTCCTCCTTTTTCCGAGCTTGAGAATGACAATAATCCCATAAGAGCTATAGGTAGAGTTAATAATTTACTAGATGATTAGATGTATCATAAATAATTTCAAAAGTCAGTTGAAACAAGTAATAAAGCATATTTCTGTTCCCCTAACGCAAAACGATCATGAAGTTAGAATCAGCTGGCAAAATATAATCAATAAATTCAAGGCTTCACATCAGAAAACCAAGAACATTAAATCTAGTTCATTTGTCTTCTTTCTCATGAAAAAGATACCTACTTACTAGAAAAAAGCTAGTTTGAAAATTACTAACTTCAATTTTTATCTGTAACTAGGTCAGTTTGTTAGATTAAGTGTTTTATATTTCACTTAGATTATAAATATAAGTTCATGTTTGGCATTTAAATATATTTGATTAATGTATTTTTGATCTTTTAATTTGAATAATCTTCTACAATGTTCAATGTCCAGTTATTTTATTGCCAAGAATAAACTATTATCAGATACAGACATGTACTTTAAGCTAAGAGTTTTTTTTTTTTAAATCTACAGAACTGAATTGGAAAATGAATCAGTAACGGCTTTTGTTACACCGAACTTTCTAAGACAGATAACTCGTAGATTATTAAAAGTATGGATGGGTTATTTTATTTTGATTCATGATGCGGTGTTACACTAGTCCCATATTTTATAATTGAGGCATAGACCTAGATATGTTAAATAGGCTCAAATTTCTGAGTTAACTGTTTGACTAGATTTGAATTCTGAATTTATCATTTAGTTGATCGACAAGTTTCATCAGTTGATCAAAAGAAATCAGCAACACGAAATAGCAATGCACAGATAATGATGATTTTGTTTCAAGTAATATATAACGGAAAAGCAGATGAAATAGATAAGTTTCAACAATTTATAAAATACAAAATGCCATCAATTATGAGTTAATGTCATGTAACTAACTACCTTAACTGGTGATTCTCATTACTTTATGTAAATTAGTATAAAAATGGCAGACGTGATATAATGACCAAAATAATTAACTTCCAAACAATAAAATATACCTTGGAATTTTGCTTCGACTAATTCAATTAAAATTATCAAGTAGTATTATTACCCTTTCTTACTGAAGGTCCTAGGTTCGAGTCTCGTGAAGAGGGGTCTAAAGATGCTCGCTGCACATGAGTCCCACACTAGCACAAAATGGCTATCTACTGCTTTTAAGCTTCTTATGATGGTCAAACAATGATTGATTTATCATTTCAATGAAACTCAACAATCTCCACAACGTTTTAGTGAAAACATAAATAAGTATAGCTCATTTTTTGATTACATAACAAGAATGGTACTTGTTTCGCTAATTGATTAATTGTATTTGAAATAAGAAATAAAATAATAGCTTTTATTTATTTATTTAATGATATGAATAAGTAAACAAACGATGAGTGAAGTAGCACTGTATCATAGCTTAAAGCATTTAGATCATTGTACTCAGATTGAAAATAAATGAGGATTTCGGTTTGATAATAAGTGTATTAACCACATGCATTGATTGTTGATTGTTACTGCTTACGAGATAAAAAGTATAGTACTACTACCTTTTAATGATAGATATGTTTGTTACTTTTACTTACTTACGCCTGTGACTCTTGATGAAGCACAGGCCGCCGACCAGCATTCTTCAACCAACTATGTCCAGATCCTTCTTTTCCAGTTCTGCTCAACTGTCTGTCTCCAATTCTTGGTCTGCCTCTTTTCCTTTAGCCTTGAGGATTCCAACTTACAGTTAGTTTGTCTCGTGATTCAGTTAGGTGATTTCCACAATGTGTGTCTAATCCACCTGCAGAGCTTTTTCTTAATTTCTTGTTCAGCTAGAGTCTGGTTTGTTCTCTCCCATAGTAGGTTGCTGCTGATTGTGTTTGACCAAAGTATGTGGAGTATCTTGTGTAGACAACTGCTAATAAACACCTGTATATTTTGGATGATGGTTTCCGTAGTTCTCCAAGTGTCCGCCCCATACAACAGAACTGTCTTGACATTTGTATTGAAAATTATGACTTTGTTGTTAGTTGACAGTCGTTTCGAGTTCCAGATGTTCCTCAAATATAGAAATGCTGCTTTGCTAATCCGTGTCTTTAAGTCTGCATCAGATCCAACTACAGATATGTTTGTAGTTTGATACAGTTTTAAAATAAATCCACCATTGGTAAACTATACAGAATTCAGGCTTTTTTATTTAATACTGATTTTTGAAATAGTATCTCGATAGCAATGTGTAAACATCAAGTGATTAGCTGTTTAGAAATGATTCAAACGGTTTAGCAATCGTAGGAATACATTAATGTCTGTCCTGAGTAGTTAATTTCGACTAATAACCGTTGACAGAATCAGTTATATGAATTCCAATTTAATATTTCAAATTACATTATTTTCTGCTCTAAATTAGACAATAATTTAAAATCGACATGCACTTCGTAGCTAATCTGTTCTAATGTATGACTTTTCGCTAGTGATTACAAACATCCTACAAGGGATTTAATAGAAGAGCTTTAGGTCTAGCTATGAATGCTTTACCTTTAAACTATTGAGGGGGCATTCTTAGTTTATATTTCTATCTTAAATCAACTTTCTATATTGCTCAATCATATTCTAGTCCGATTGGTAAGTGCCTTACACTCTATTTGGTTGGACTTGACTGACTATCGCACTGTGGTCTAAATGTTGAAGATTGGATGCGACTCCTGAGAACCATGGCTTGGAGACTTTAGTGCGTAATATTGAAGAATAGGAATCTAAGACGTACCAGCTATTCAATGTTTCTTATTTTCCAATGCTTGTTCGATTAAGATTGATCCCTGCTGTAGGCTGTACAATTCAAGAAACTCGACAGACTCTCTATATGCTTACATAATGTATATCCGCTGATAAAGATGGGCCCTACTACTGTAATACACAATTTGAAATGGAACTTTGATGTAAAACGTTATCCTATTCTATAATGTAGTGACGTTCTGAACTGGTTAAAAGTATGTGCATATTTCAATGAATTGTATAATTGTCATCATTTCACTAAAAGATCCTATTCACCAGTGCACAATGTATTCATGTATTTTTGATCAGACTAACTTCAAAAAAAGTGTGATGTTTAGTTGTGTACGGTTTGTAATACAAATGACATATTAATAATTTGGACACGTACATATATATATATATATATATATATATATATATATATATATATATATATATATATATATATATACATACTATTCATTATGCTTTGATTCGTAGAATAAACTTTGATTCGTAATTGTCCAATGAAGCATTCATTAAGGAGAGATTTGAAAGCATAAAACGATTTTTTCCGTATAATTCCTATTCGTCTCCGTGTCTGGTCACTGGGTGTTTTTATTTCTTGTCAAATCTAATTCCTCTTTTTTGTCCAGTTTAGAGTTTTCAGTGTTTTCACTTCAGCGTTTTTTAGAGTTTTCAGTGTTTTCACTCCAGCGTTTTTTGTTCACTAGTGACAAGCGATAAGATTCAAACAAAATAAGAGTGTTCGAGAAAAAGTCACAGATTTAAAAAGGGTTTGTAGTTAATATTTAAAGTAGAAACTGGACAAGAGGAGTATTTAGAGTAACTTTAACGCAATGGTTTGTTTTACATAGAATAAAAGTTGTTTTCTTTCGTGTTTGTGTTTAACACTGAGTTTTCAATGTTCAAATATTTTTTTAGTAAAGTGAAATGTAAGACGTTCAAAAAGTTTGAAAATTTATCTACTTCCTAGATGTATATTGTTTAATATGAACCGATTTCAATGATGAATCATTAAAAAAAATAACTGTGGATTTCAAAAACTGTAGTGTCTATCAATTCTGATCAAGAAATAGTTTTTTCTATAGATCACCTAAAGTAAAATAAAAGGTAGCTAATAAATTCTGTTCTTAAATTTCCCTAATTGGTAATAAAATCACTTAGTAGTCCCATATCATTGAGAAATATCTGTCTAGTGATTCCAGTTTTTCAAAAGCAGTCTAAATCAGTTCACACACTATGACAAAAAATATCTTCAAACAACTAAAATCTTTCCAGAAAAAAAACTAATATTTATCAAAATGATTGATTTCTTAAATCTCTTTTGAGAATTCACACCTACTATTAATAGTGTATCATTTTGTTATTGTGTAGTAAGTAAGAAAGACAATTCGATGAATCAACTTATAGTAACTTTATTTATTCGAAATGAACTACTAGTTTTGCTAGACAAAATACCATCTATACAAAAAATGTAAATGCATTCTAATCAATATTTATGTGCTTCATTTACATTGACATTTGAATTAATTATAATATCAAAAAATACAGGTGAAGTTTTACAACTTGATAAATAACAATAATATACCGTATGTGATGACTATAATGAAAGAAATCATTTCTAAAGCACGATTCGAGTTAAACTTACATTCTTCGAAATTTATGTCACATACTAGTCTGAGTCAGATGCGACGTAGAACTTTGTACATAAGTACATCAGTTCATGCTGCCATACCACATCAGCACAGAGATATAATTGTCAATTCAAATCCAATAGTAGAAGAGGTAGTAAGGGAATTAGAAGTAATCGGAGGTTAGGATTAGAAGATACTATTCAAGAAGTATGATTCAGTGAGAAAAGTTTAGAGAGTCGAAACTAGAGGGGTTGAAGAATCCAGATGATTAGGATTTGAGAGAACACAGAGAATAAATGCACCGGCGCCATTGCGAACGATTTTGAGCCATGTCATTCAAGGTCTCTAGCCATCGATTATTATAATCTCGCGGACCCCAACCAGGTAGTCGACAATTACCGACATGGCTCAGTCCACTCGTCAATGACTTCATGGATTTCTGCCATGTTTTGGTTTGGCCGCCCCTAGCTTTCTTCCAACCTATTCCTACACTACAAAACAAAGCTCGACGAGGCAGTCGGTGGTTAGCCATACGCAACACATGTCCCAACCACCTCAACTGGTGAAGTTTCAATACTTCATCGATTGATCTGCCATGTCACATACTAAATATGAAGTGAATGAATAAACACATTTTGACCTGGGCAGCACTTTCAATGATCACAGAACTCTTTTCACCAAGCTTCTTATTAATGGACAATATCAATTTAGTTGTTTATATTGCCTGTTGTGAACGAGAGATTTCATTACACATGTAGGTAATTTTCATGTGTGTAGTTTCCTAAATCTAAATAACCTCAATTTGTTTTCAATGTGCCTTTTTTTCAAATCAGATCGCTAATCCTTATGATCCAAAAAATGTGGAAACGTTGCATAAATTCCTTGAAATTTATAAAGATGAAGCTGAACGATTTGATACAGTTTTAATGGATACTACTGAAGAATTGGAACAAGTTCGTACACGAATTGAAACGTTGGAGAAAGAAGTTCGTGATGTAGAATTAAAACAAGATGAACATTTAGCCAGGTATTTGTGACAATTTTAATATTTTTCTATCTGTATACATTTTTGATAAAGCCGTATTCTGATAATATTGTCTTAAAAAGTCATACAAGCTTCACAACTGGACTAGTGAGTTGAGTAAATATGTAATGTCCTCAGAAATATGTATTAGTTCATTAACCTTTGAGTAATAATGTCAGTAGAAAAGTAAAATAAGCATTTATTCAAATTCCAATTGTATTAGGTTATGATTAACAAGTAAAGCTCAACAACCCATTTGAATAGAATCTATAATTCAAATAGATTTGCATCTCCATCTGGTATTTTTGCTCAAAATTAAGAATCACACCAGACCAAACTATTCATTGGACCATTGACTCCTGATGATCGTCTCTTGTACAAATTAGTTTAGAGTGATGTACTGCCTATCAAAAGGGTTGGGCTGATCATTTTATTTTAGCATACTAACATCCCATATATAATTTTTTTTTAAATATTAGCAGTGGTTTAGTTCCACAGTATCAACTCATCAATTTAATTTAGTTGATGGGGACCTCACCAAGTTCTAGATATTTCATGAACTCAATTACTTAGTCAACTGTTTATTACTCTTTACTGTTTCGAGTATCTGAATTACTAAATAAATGAAAGGTTGGAAAATTTTCTACAATGTAACTTGAGTAATTAGAGTAAAGTGAGGTTATCATTTCTATTTGTTATTTTATCTACTGGTTCGATTTCTTATTGGTTTTCTAACTAAAATAACCATTAAGTCGTTAACGGTTCCGAACCTGGCATATATACACACCGGTTTAAGCTATTATAAGATAGCATTTCAAAGGAATGAAATTATCATGACAAATAATAGATTATAAGTATTCACAGTATCAGTGATAGAAAATATTAGGTACAAGCAGTAGGATTCGAGAAGGAAGAACGAAACTGTAGAATAAATAGTATGGGATACTTTTTTAAAGTCAGTATCGAAGAGAAGATAAAGAATGAATTTATCTGAATTGTTGTGACCCATTCTGAGTAATGTCATCCAACATCTTTAAACATTGTTCATGATAATGGCGTGAAGCTTGATTTTTCAGTGTGGATTTATCAAGATTGTTTAGTTCAAGTGTCAATGACCTCATGAACTGATGCCACATCTTGGTTTTGAATAGATACTTCTGTGAAAATTTCAGCGTGCTCTAATCACCTGACTCTGTAATCTAAGGTAATAATTAATTTCATAGTGGGTTGATAATCAGAAAATGATTTCAAATAATTCAACGTCATTCAGTCCTTTATTCCTTTTACTATTTTAAGTATCATCAGTCTATCTTGAGCTATATTAATTGAATATAAATTTATTTTAACAAAATCACATTCCTTTCATCAACTGGTCGACTAATGGTCTTAACTCTTTATTTAAGAGATATTCCTGAAGAAGCACCTAACGATGCATCACAAAACATTATTTTAATTAACATATTTACATTCACTGTCGGCCTTCACACTTAATAACCTGTTTTTGCATTATGATTAACCATCAAAGCTATCTGAAATGTTTTCGGTCAACGACTGACAGTGGAACTCAGCAAATTTGGCTGGTCCGAGTTAAATGGTCATTAATCGCGCTTATATAAATATATATAAGAAGTTAGCTCAGTGTAGATCAGTTTAAACATCAGATATGACTGAGTGTCTGGAATTCCTTATCGATTAGTTGAAAATTATACAAAGTTTTCAGACTACTAATTTTTACCACGATATTTTGTTTATCCGTATTTGGATGTCCGATATTTGGTTAGTTTTTTATTGATTAGTTCTTCATTTCAATGATAAATTAAACATAGACAGATTTTCATACATTATTGGACATGGAAAACAAATATTGGATGTAATAGCGACTCTGTCAACTGATAAATGATTGTATGTTCTATAGTCAAATATCATCAAAAGTTCTATATTCATTCATAATAAAAGATGCAAAATGGTAATTTAAGTGCATTTAAATTATCAATGTCATTTATCATCAATTTACGAGTATTGTGACTATTCATTAATACCAAACCATCCGACTGCCTATATATTTTTTCTAAATTATTGTTCTTTTTTCTTAGCTTCCATCATTTGTTAATATACAATTTCATTTCATTTGCCTGTGAATGCTTTTTTTTATTGCGTGTTAGTTAAATAGCATTGATAAATTGGAGTAGTATGCGCATAGAGTTTATTGATTATTCCTATCTTAAAACTGTACTTGACTCTGATTGGCCGACAACTTGGGTAAATAACAACATCCAATTCTAACAATGATTTGTTTACAAAGATAAACATTCTGTTTAAAAAGGTTTTTTTCTCATAAACAGTGTATGTGATTATTTTATGTACAATATTGCCCATAGGAATAGTTATAGTTGGGAAAGAAATGAATTAAACTAACAAATTTATAGGCCGTTAATAAAAAAAATATTGTTTATTGAGTTAGTTGATTCAAATGATTGAATGAAATAGTTGTGAGCTTTGTTCATTCTCTCTAATAGAGTAACAAGATATATATATATATATATATATATCGAGAGAAAGAGAGAGAGAGAGAGTTAGTGTGTATTGGTGAGTGTTTTAAAACCTGCTTTTTTCCTCTCTTTGGTACAATAATAATAATAATAATAGGTAGGTACAATAACAAGTGAATATACATACATAATATTAATTACAGTGGAGTGAAAAGAAATTGAGCAGTTGACTTTGTTTTGTTCAATCTATCAGTATTATCCATCCTATTTAAGTGGTATGAAAAATACACTGGAGTAGAATATATTACAAAAAACAATAAAGAGACCTAGTAATTAATGCAATAATAGCGTTTGTCATTAACTAATCACATGATCGTAATTGGAACAGCACATCTAAGCAAATAATACTGTTTCATATCAGCTCTTCAACAAGCTTCACTCTAATTTTACAGTAATATTTATATACACATATAAGAAAACTGTTGAACTAAGCAAAACAGTTTATGAGTCAGTGATAACACAATCAAAAAATGCAATCAGCTATTTAATCATAAAAAGTACAAAGTATAGATCGATAGTAAAATGACAAGTGTTATTGTTAGTGATACGAAAAACAGTTAAAAATCAACGAGATCACATGAATTACATAATAACATCAGAGATAGGGGTTAGAGTTTCAAAGAAAGAGAAATAATAGTCAGTAAATAATTTCTGTCCAAAGAAGCAAGAGAGATATCATAAAAATTTTATGAACACAATAATCTAACGTTGTTAATTTGAATGTACATTAATTTTCGTCTTATGTAACATGTAAGGCAAAACTCATATTGGAAATTTGAGTGTCGTTAATAAGTCAACCGGTTTTATCTGTTACGTGACTAACTATCCACCATATGTTCTGGTAGAATAGATCTGTGTATTTATTTAGTCCAACCCTTTGCTGCTCACTGACTCATTAGCCAAGCTGCCTTGTTGTTAGTTCGACATAACTTTCTTCTCTGGAGTAGCTGATTTACTAATTATACAGATGTGGGCCAATCAAGAAACTCATGATCATTGACTTTGTTAATACTTTTGGAAGCTTACGAATAAACAATGAAGGCAACAGTTAACCGATTTCAATATAAAAATGATTCTCCTATAACAATACATTTACTGATTATTACACTGTAAATACAAATCTATAAAATCTATGGAAACTTTTACTGAGACTAGATCTATGCATCATTGTCTGTTCTGAATGTTTTCAATGTGAGTCTGATAAGTTGGACGAAAAATGCGACTACAGTAATAGTTGGTACTTGAAATGAAATCTTTAATGAAAATTACATAATCATATCTATCACTCTACTGTTAAAAACACAGAAAGTTTGTCGATATATATTTGTGAACATTGAACATTGAGAGACTATTTATTGGTTGCAACGTTTTGCATTTTTGACAACAAATGTAAGAGAAGCATAAGTTTCCTTTTGTATTTTTAATCAACCTTTTAACAGGCCATCCTATACGGAGATAGTTTTATCTGCTGAATACACTTTCTACATGCTCTACTTTTGTTGATTATTTACGGGTACTTTAATTCGGATTCAGTCAAAATTTATCTAAAGCAATTATTCTCCAGAAAATTGTGAAAATTCCCCATAAATCCAAGCGACTAATCAATTTCTTGAGTGAGTGGGGAAATTTGTTACTTCATTCAACTTCGTAAGCTATGGTGAATAGTGTCACTTGCTTTCAAACCCTTATTTCTCAAGTTTTATGACGTTGTTGCAGTTGCTATGGTTTCTGTGTCCAATAATTGTGTCGTGTTGTTCGGTATCCGATTTCGATACTGATACTCAAGCTTCCTATTCACCAGCCTAACCACCTACTTGAGTGATAAGATTGATAATTAGAAGGAAGTTTATTTTGCTTAAATTGATTGGTACATGTATATACCCATTCATATGTCTATGTAAGCCGTCATTGGTGTATGTCTCATTCCTTAAAAATATATAACACAGGAGCACGGAAATCTCTCTTTTCTCTCGCTCACTACCGTGCGCCATGCTGTGTAGGATTCGCGACTGACCTGAGAGATTCACTGCTCACTGTAGTTGTGGCTGACTCTTTTTTTAAGAGATGATATTTCATTTTAAGGATATAGTGAGTTACATACACCAATGGACGGCTAGAACGCTATACATACAGAATATGAAGTGTCGATAATGTGAGACAACAACCAATACAAGTTTTAAGCAAAAAGTTAAAGTCTCAACTGTCTCCGAGAGTACCTAAGGTTTTCAATGTCATTACTTAGAAATGGATCAGGTCGGTTTATCTAGATGTTAAATTGAGATACAGGAATGGGACAGACGCATTGCGTTTATAAGATATGAGGGTTGAGTACGTGAAGTGTGGTTTAGTAGGGCTTGGGTATAGTTATGGATTGGGTGGGAATTAGGAAAGATTGAGTGATCAGTATCGAAATCGGATAGTCGGCCAGTACCGAATAGCAACGACCAGAAAGTC